CGATTAAAACGGTTTTATGTAAAGTTCCCCTATCTGATCACTATTTGCCGTTCGCCTATAAAAGTTTTAGAATATGTGAATACATATTTTTATAGTACAAAGCATCACTAAATAGTAGTGGGTATCAAAAAGGTTTGAAACTAATTTCAACTTCATGCAAAAAAAACTTGAAAATGCACTTATTTTAGCTCGTCTAAATGTACTTCCCCCCTTAAGCAGAACTCCCTGCACAATTTACTTTGTTTCTTTCCACTCTGCAAAAGTACACTATAAGCTTTTATTGCATTTCAATATGGTCAATTCTAAGCGAAAGTTCATTCTAGCCTGGTTCATTATACCCGGAAAAAATTAACACCTAGCTTATGGAATTCATTTGTTGCCGCCTGCAATGATTCACTATAAACTGATTCATTATAAGTGAACATTACTGTAATTGAATTAAATGCATCAATATAGCCAAAAATTTGTTCTTGAACTCTAATAAATAATATCACAATTCTTTTTTTTTTCATTTAATAATTTTTTTTAGTCTCTACCGTTTCTCATCGATGAATCATTTTTAAACACGCTGCGCAGCAATTTTATGATCTTCGAGTTTTGGATTAAATCAGAAACAAACAAAAATATTGGAATTGCTAATATTAATCTACACCAATTTTACGTTTCATATAGAAACCCAATTATCACAAAATACTTAGAACGAAACAAAGTAAGTTTATCAAATTTTGGTTTTTACTCATACAAAATTCTAACGTAAAATAAAAAAAAACAAGTTGCCAGTTATAGGTTGTGATTGGTGGGAATCAATTTACGATCCTTTAAACGGAGACGTTTTTGGCGAAGCACAAATATTAGTGGCTCTTGGAACGGAAGATCAAATTCTAAATTTAAAAAAGGAAAGAGGTTTTATAAATGATACCATTCGGGTGAAAACTACGCGAAACTTTAAAAATGATAATGAAAACAACAAAGTTTTACCTGGAGTAAATAAAAAAGTAAATAAAAATCGTAACACATTGAGAATTAATAAAAAACCAAATCCGATTAAGTCTAAAAGTAAAGATATCGGAATTCAATCCGACATTGTAATAAACGAAATCACTAAAATGGACTCATCAAAATTAGAGGATAATAACGATAAAGTGGAAGTTAAAGAATCCGAAAATTATACGGCAATCGCTTCGTTTCTACAAACGTTAATGACAATGAATAACAAAACTTTTAAGGAAAATTGTACCAACACAGAAGCTGCAACAAGTTCTCTTAAAGCATCTCCAAATATCACTCAAGATTCGCCTTTAAAATTGACTGAGAAATCCTTAACAGAAACGTTGGGTCTTAATGCAATAAAAGAAAAATCTACCACATTTAAAGCTCATATTTTCATAGAAAATGCGTTACATCTTCCATTTCGAAAGAAAAGTAAAACTAAAAAGTCGAGAGGAAAAAGTGGAAAGTATGAAGAGATTTTGCCGAGTTGTTACGTTACTTTTGAAACTGTCAATGGTGATATAAAAATGACTAATGTTGTTCAGAAAAGTAAAAATCCTGTTTGGAATTATAATAGCGATGTTGAATTACCTAAGGAATTATTAACAAATGTAAGTAATAGAATTAATACTTTTAGAATCCCACTTTTTTTTGGTTTCATTACATCTAAGTTTCTGAAATTTTGTTTAAACGAAAAGGTCATCCTGATCTTTATATCTAAAATATTTTCTTCCCACTTCCGGTTCACCGGATTAGACAAAAAATTGTTATTTTAAATGGAATGTTATGGTATTTATTACACATTAATATTGTTTATGCAAAAATAGGCTGACTTTGATACAGATTGTTGATACCTAAAGCTTTTCGTTTTCTAGTTATTTTCATTTTCTTTCAGCAGTTATTAATGTGTTTTTTTAAACCGTATTATTCAGCCACTCTACAAGCAACAAAGGTGGAAGTTTGTATAATTACGGTTCAAATGTTCAAAAATTGAACGTAATTAGTTGTATCGGTTTACAAGTGGTGAAAAATTTAAAAGTTAAAAATTAAAAGATTCCCTTATCTTTACGTTCTACAACACGTTTTCACTTATATTTTGCGAACTATCTTTATTTTTTTCGGAATTATTTAAAAATAACGTTATTAATTGACGTTAAATATACTCGTAATATGTATGTTCAAAATATCTAAATCTATTAATCGGAAGAAATGGTGCTGGTATAAGTTCCAAAGTGGACGTCGCGCCTTTATTTCTTTATGTGGGTAAAATAAAGGCGGGACGTCCTGTTTGGAACACACATCAACCGGATTGGTCAGAACCCTCCTCTCCCTGCATGACTTATTTCTGTTTCTTTATAATTTAAAAATCGCTTAAATAGCTCTAAAAGAGTAGAGAGACATAACTTTTAAAAACTGATAACGGAATCCGACAAACCCAATTATTTCACATATTTTGTTTAAAACCGCGTTGAAATCAACCCAGCCGTTTTCGACATAACTGCATCCTACAAAACTGCGATTTTCCGCGAAACTATATGGAATGTTGAAAAAATAAAATATGCCCCAAAAAGCAAAGTTCAAAGTTGAAATTTTCAAGTGTCTGATAGTTTTTGTGAAAAATCGCAAATTGTGATAAAAAGAAAACCGTGGAGCCGAAAATTTTCAAATTCACATGTTACGTAGAAATGTTTAGGGATTACGACAAAATTTACCGCAATTTTTTTTTCTCTAGCGGTTGTGAAGGTATCGATCTCTAAAATGAGGGGCCTTGACTTTTGGCATAGATAGCAGATAAGTAAGATATTTTATTTATTAACCAACTAACAAAAGAAATGGTTGAATATCAAAACAATTTTATTCTACGTTACATTACTAAGGGCTGGTTGAACAATATACCGATAAATCTACCTGATAACTATCCGGCTGATAAACTTATCGGGAGGCTAAAAATATTCGCTGTTGTACTAACTGTTTTTGTTGGTAGGATTGCTATCGGCGAAATAACAGTCGGTTGATAGTACTTTTTAGCCACATCTACTATCCGTGCAAAAAGTCAAAGCTCCGCACTTTAGAGATCGATATAATGATAACAATAATAATGCAATTTATTAACCCTCAAAAATCTTTTACATATAAATCACTTTACATAATAAAGAAAATTAAGTAGGTTAATTAGGTAGCCAGGTCAGGCAACACCTTGGTAGTCAGGCCTGCTCTTCCCCTGGCTCCTATGTACTATAAAAAAAGATTTCTTTGAGGATTAACTTCAATTTGTTATGATTTGATTTAAACATAAGAATTCTTTCAATGATTTGTTATGGTAAAGTTTCACTTTTCATAACATCATGTTGGTCACCGTCTTACTTAACTAAATAAACCGATCTGGGGTAATTGAAACGAAAACGTATACAGAGCAAACAGTTTGCGGATTGCGCAACCGTTTTTGTATTGGCAGCTGTTTTCTCAACAATAATTACCATTGCAAACGGTGAAAATATTTACCTATTAAACGCATCCATTAAGTAAATTGAAGATGAAATTGTGTGTTGTATAGAATTTAAATTACGTGTAAATGTAGATAATTTTCTAATTACACCAATTAAGATATATAACAAATAATCCAGAACAGCGCAAAAAATATATATATATAACTGAGTATAATAAGAAAAACTAATTCAATCTTGTCTGTCGCTTACATAGATACCGTCTGTATTTAATTTTAAACTTTGACACGTTTAACACTTTTAATGAGCGAGGAAGGTGTTCCAAAAAACTGTGATGCCGTATGTAAATGAATTCCGAAAAGCAGTCGACGCGTGACGTGGCACCGTAAGTGAATCTTTTCTGCGAATATTGACATTATGTACATCAGTACGGTAGGTTATTTTATTACTTAAATAAACAGGAATTTTGTCTTTTAAGATTTTGAAATAAACTACTCCTCTATGTAGAGCCATCCTATTATGCATATTCAGCCAACCACACTCCGCCAATTTATGTGAAACTCTCTGATATTTTTGTATGCCATAAATCAGCCTGAGGCAGCTATTCTGGACATACTGCACCCTTCTTTGATTTTCTTTAGTTAAGCAGGGACCATAGACCGAATCACAGTGGTTGAAGTGAGATAAAATCAATGCATCAGTTAATAATCGTTTACTATCTGCATTTAACACGTGTCGATACGGATAGAGAGATTTCAAAATACAATAAGATTTTTGTAATAGCTTATTTATGTGTGTATTAAATTTTAAATCATTGTCTATAAACACCCAAATTTTTAACGGAATCCACGTGCTGTAATTTCTGATAACCTACACTAATTTTAAGAATATCACTAACAGATTTGGTATGATTTTTATTCCCAAAAATAATTACATTGGATTTAGTGGGGTTAATTTTTAGACCATGTACCTCAGAAGCGTCAACAAGGGATTGTACATCCGAATTAATTTTGATAGCAGCATTGTTAGAGTCAGTGTGATGAAATGAAATTGACAACTGAGTATCATCAGCATAAGCATGATATTTGCAAAACTTAAAATTTTTATAAAACGTACTCACATAAATTATGAACAGCAGAGGTCCACATATACTTCCCTGAGGAACTCCTTTAAAGATTAGTTCTCTTTGTGAGAAGACATCTTTGATTTTAGTTCGTTGTTCTCTGTTTAAAAGGTAATGTTTAAAAAACTCTATTGCTGTGTGACTCAGACCAATGTAGTGTAAAATACTTAGTAACAGATGATGATTTATCATATCAAATGCTTTTGAATAATCCAACAATACAATCGCATGCATGTCATCCCCGTCGATGCTACGCAACACATCATCCACAATATCTAATAGAACAGTATTATAGCTATGATTCGGTCTAAATCCCGATTGGTTGTCGGGTATGATGTTATAAAGAAAAAGATGTTCCCGTAATTGACAACAAACTATTGGTATATTTACTATTTCCTGTATCTTCGTAACCGCTCGATGGACAAAATTGCGGTAAAGTTTATTGTAATCAGTGAACATTTCTGCGTATCACATGTTAATTTGGAAATTTTCGGGTCCGCGGTTATTCTTTTATCGCGAGTTAAGCGAAGAAAGTGCCCGATTTTTGAGAGTGCCAGTAACTTTGTCTACTTTGCGATTATTTTTCTCCAAAACTATTTGACGAAAAAATTTCAAATTTGAACTAGTGGTAAACTGATGTGTTCTTAATGTGGGGCATATTTTATTTTTTCGATATTCCATATAGTTTCGCGGAAAATCGGGGTTTAGTAGGATACAGTTATTTCGAAAACGACCTGGCGGATTTCAACGCGCTTTTTACCAAAATATTTCCAATAATGCCGGTTATCGGATTCCGTTATCAGTTTTTTCAAAATTAGGGCTCCTTAATTTTTTAAGAGCGATAATGGAATTATAAATTAAAGAGAAACAGAAATAAGCTATGCGGGCAGAGCAAGGTTCCGTCCAATCGGAACAGATGGTGCGTCTCAGACAGTACGTCGCGCCTTTATCTTTCCTGTATAAAGAAATAAGGCGCGACGTCCTGTCTGGGACGCACCATCTGTTCCGATTGGACGCAACCCGCGTCACCTCGGAGAGCTCGATTGGTCAGAACCCTCCTCCCCCTGCATGACTTATTTCTGTTTCTCTTTAATTTGTAATTCCATTAAATCGCTCTTAGAAAGTTAGGGAGCTCTAATTTTGAAAAACTGATAACGGAATCCGACAACCGACATTATTTGACATATTTTGGTCAAATCCGTGAGGAAATCCATCCAGCGGTTTAAAACATAACGGCGTCTTACAAAACCGCGATTTTCTGCGATATTGTATGGAATATCGAAAAAATAAAATATGCCACTTATTAAGAACACATCAGGCTACCACCTGTTCAAAATTCAAATTTTTTCGTACGATAGTTTTCGAGAAAAAGATCGCAAAGTTGACGTTACCGTAAAAAATCGGGTACTTTTTCATTTAACTCGCGATAAAAAGAAAACCGTGGATCCGAAAATATTCAAATTAACATATGTTACGTAGAAATGTTCAGTGATTACAACAAACTTTGTAGCAATTTTTTTTATTGAGCGGTTGCGAAGATATCGATCTCTAAAGTGAGGGGCCGTGACTTTTTGCACGAATAGTAGTAATTTGCGCCATAGGTTGGTAACGCTAATGTCTTTCTTTGAAATTTGAACTATTATTTTGACAATAATAACAATTGTTTAAAAAAAATTTTCACGATACACAACTGACACGTACGTCTAGGATGTTATAGGTTAACCTATGTAGTAACCATACAAAGTTTTTATATAAAATCCTTGGTACCCATATATATCTGGCGGATAACTGTCTTATCGGCACTGCTGAGGCTCGTTACTACCATCTTCTGGTTAAGCTATCTAAGGGATTATTACCATGGTTACGGCTATTTTACGCGCTCTCATTGGCTAGTAGATGGGTTTATCTATTAGATAAATTTAACTAAAAGATGGTAGTAACGAGCCTGAGTAGTCGATAAGTTACCCTAAAAGACTGCTACATCTATTGTCATTTTGTAGCCCACTACGAGTTGGTTGCCCGCACTCTACGTCACACTATTTAC